TCTTAATCATATTACATTTTTTGCAGGCCTCGTTTGTTGTGTGCCGAGTGTTTGTCAAATCACGTGTTCGAAACAGCATTTCAGAGCATGCCTTAAGTTCGTGTGCTGAAGAAAGCATTGCAACTGTACGTCATATTGGTATTCAGCATGATTCAAGCACTGTTTCTGTCTTGGATGAAGATAAAGCACATGGCTTCTACTATGTAAATGGTAAGATTGCGGGTCAGCCAACAAAATTGATGGAAGAGACAGAACCCAACATTCCGGTGAACTTTCTTAACCTTGAGTTCAATTTCTTAACATGTTTATTAATTTGTTAAGTAACATATCTGGGATGTGGTAAAAAATTTGATGTTCTCTTTTCATGTAAGGTTTTTTAATGTGTTTTTTGCAAAATGAAAGCTTTTTTTTTTAATGTAGTTTGAGCAAAAATATTCATGAATATTACTTCGTTTCAAAAAGTGTGTTTTGGGCGTGCCTAGGTGCCAAGCAAGTCAAGGCGGAAGTCAAAATGCCTTGACCTTGTGGGGTACAATTTATTCTAAAAGGCGACAAAAGAATTTGCTTCAGGCTGCCTCAACCAAGGGCAAGGCGAATTGCCTATGCTGCTTCATGTATAAATGTGAGGAAGTAAATTTGAGCCTAATTTTTTTTTTTTTTTTTTTAATTTTTTTTTTTGATTATTTCATCCTTGATTGTCTTTAGGAAGCTAATCTGGGCAAAGACACTCAGTTAATTGCATAATAACTTTAATTTAATTCCGAGTTTTTTTAAAAAAATTTTTAGAGGAAGAAGAATATTAATATTAGAAAATTTTGCAGAAAACCACCTTTTAAATCTTGTTTTTTTTGCATATAATCACCTTTTACAAAAAATGTTGCAAAAAGACCACCAATTTAAAAATTTTGTTGCAAATTACCACTTTTTAAACCAAATTTATCAATTGTTTTACATTGAATTGGTGGTAAATTGCAACAAAATTTCTAAAATTGGTGCTCTTTTGTAACATTTTTCCTGCAAGTTAGTTATATGCAAAAGAACAAGATTTAGATGGTTTTTTGCAAAATTTCCTTAATATTTTCATTAATAAATAGCCATACAACATCTATAATAGTAATAAAGATTTGTAAACCAAAGCTTTAGACAAAATAACAGAACTTTTACAATCAAAATCATAACCATTTTGCATATTTGGCATAGCTCACACTCCACCACTTCCGACTTGACGCGAGCAGTGATTTTCGATGTGTTCGCATTTTTCTAAGTAGAGACCTTCGTAATCGAGTTGATGACAAACCCTAAACCCATATCAATCCATATCACATTCTCAATTATTATTACAACCCTAAAAAGCCCTAATGATAGAAAATCTTATTTCACGCGTGTTGCAGCTCACAAGTGGTGAATCAATTGAGAAATTGGTTGTTGCTGGCTATGATAATTTTTATTGGTGAACAATTTCTGGCACGACAAGAGGAAAATCCTCATTCACAATGATATAAATGAAGCTTAACATTCTGTCATGGAATAATTAGAGGAGCGGGTTTGGATTATTAATAATGGGATAGCAAGGTTATAGGATTTGAATTTGAATTGGCATATAGTTCAACCAAGAGGGATTCAATAAAGTGGTAGATGCTTTATTGAGAAACAATAGCTACGTAGTTAGTGTCCATCGAATCCATTTGTGGTGTTTCTTTTGAGCATATTCAAGCTGTGTTTTTCTAGATATCTTCGCACAAATATATGATCACATAGAATTTGGAAGAAAGTGCATTGCATCATGATTCACTAGTAGAGGAAGAGTTGTTTTTTATGAAGGAAGGGTTGATGGTGGTAGTCACTTTGAGCTAGTAATTTGACTCTCCTGGCAGTGTTTCTCTCTAGGAAGTTGAAGACATATTAACGTTTAGTTTTTGAATGGTTTTGGGTCTATAAGGAAAGAAGTGGCACACCAAATTCAAGCTTATTTAATCTACTAGCCTTCTTCAGCCCTTGCCCTTGCCCCTCCCCTCCCAACCCACGTACAAGATGAAATCACGATGGATTTCATCATAGGGTTAATATTAACCAAGTTTGCGCACTTTATCTGAATAAATTACCATTTTAATGCTATGGTAGGTGTATAATCATGAAGGAGTTGGTTTAACCATATGGGCCTGAGTTCCATCTTCACCGACAGGTTCAGCCTGCTCATCCCACACCTCAAATTAGATACACATATGCAAGAAGGGAAGGGATAGGTATCAAGGATAGTACACAATAATGAGGTTAGGAATCCTGTTATGATTCCCGAAGGTGAGGAAGAGCATCAAAAAGAGGACACTCATAAATCAGTGAGAAGAGAGAACAATGTAATGGGGAGAGAGTATTATAAGGGTTTGTAAGTCCGTGTGAATATTTTTGGGCACTTGAAAGTCTTATATTAGGTACTGGAATTTTCCTTAATTATAGTGTCAATTTTTTTTTTCTCTTTCGATCGGTTTCAGTGACGAACCATTGAAACTTTTGCTTACCCAGTTTAGCTATGAGCTTATGAGTGTTTTGACGCCCCTCTTGAACAACCTTTGCAGATGAGGTGTGGTTTGCTTATCTATTATTCTCATAATCCTGTTTATTCTTAATACCACCACTCCACCAAAATTTAAACCTGAATAGCCTGATTACCTGTCTCTCGTAGTGATACAATTGGCTGCAAAATCTATTAATATTGGTGTTTTTTCACTTGTTTATATGATACACAGAAGCTTTCATTGGTTGAGAACTTTGTTTTTATTTACCATCAGAAAATTAGTTGTAAATTTGTGTTGGGATTTTAGATGTTGGAAGATTACCGTTCTTGTCTATTTAGGTATGATATTTGGTAAAGGCATTAAAAATACATTTGGGTGAATGCTTGTGGGTTGGGATTATCTAGGTATTGTCATAATGGCGCACTTGCTTAGCCCGTAAAAGTACAACTATGTGGGAGTTGCCAAGTGTGCATACTCAAATACACTTTGAGCGGAGATACCTTCAATCCATATCAAAGTTCATGAATGTGATGACATCATGCAATTCCTTTGACACCTTTTCCTTCAGCCGTTTTGTTTGTAAGTTTAGGTGAAATTAGTAAGAATCTAACCATTGTTTATTGGAGGTAATGCTTTGATTTGAACTCCTTGATCCAGGTCCCCAACTTGATAAAAACCCTAATGTGCAAATTATGCATGTTAAGTCAAATTGGAGGACATCCATCCATTAATACATCAAAATGCTATTCATACCAGTGAAGTGTTGATCAATTGCTTGCTTGTTCTGTCCATTCAAAGCTATAGAATAATCATACCTGAACCTTATAAAAAGGAAACTAGTTAACTGCATACCTATAGTAGATTCCTTGGATTTTGAAATCAGGACTAGTTGATTTAGCTAGACTTGGCAATCCTAGACCCAATGACCCCACCAGAATAACCCTACATGTGATCCGAATTCGACCCGAAAACAGTGACCCGAAACTTGAAATCAATCAAAACTGACCTATACCCGACCCGAATTGGAATTGACCCGATCTTGACCCAAAACCTGAAGCGACCCGACCTGAAATGGCCCGACCTGAAGTTGACCCGATACCCAAAGTGACCCGACCTTAATTTAACTTCAATTAATTGACCAAAATAGATCTGAAGCCCGAAGTAACCCGAACTAAATTACCTTATATATGAAATGACCAGAATCAATTTAAGCCATAGACTTGACCTTAGCAAACCGAAATAGAAAATACCCGCAATCAATCTGACTTAATTTTTTATTTATTAATTTGTAATGTGTAATAGTGTTAGTAATTTACATATTTTGAGTATTACTTTTCTCGATTTCGTCGGCCTTTTCTCTATAGAGTTATAAGTTATAAAAAATTTGTAAAAAGATTGAAAATTAACGACTATTCTACAGAGTTTGTCCATATGATTAAGAAAAAACTTAGTAAAGCTTGAAATAAAAGTCACATTTTACTAGTCTGGACAAAACAAATAGTACAATAATAACATGAACATAACATAATGTTCAATACCAAATGAAATTACAAGGTCTGATAGGCAAAGATAGCAACCGACCCGAGTGTGACCCGACCCGAAGTTGACCTAAAATTTGGACCGGACCCAAATTCAGCTTGAAGTGTTGACCCGATATCCGACCCATCTGTTGGCCCGAAATCAACCGAACGACCCGATCCAACCTGAAGATGACCTGATAACTTATTGACCCAACCTATATCCGACCCGAATGTCCCTGATAACTTGTTGACCCGAATGGGGTAACATGGAATTTTTGGGAAATCATGAAAATCCTCCACTGGCCTCAAGTCTTTAGGCCCTTGTGTTTTAGGGTACATGTTCCTATAAAAGGAAACGGGGACTCCCAAGAGAAATTATGTAAAATTTGCATTTCTTTTAAAATGGTGGACATGGTTTCAATGAATGGCACAAACACCCTTTATTCTTTGTCTCTTGAGAACCCATGTGAAGATTTAAGTTTTGCCGGTTGTTTGAACAAAGGTTAAAAGACTAGATTTAAGTCATTCAACTTGCTTAATTTATAACAATTATACTTTTGAACCTTTTTAAAGGTTTTTTAGGATTGCAATGTGAGCCACCTATTTTGGTGTTTGCTTGCTTTGAGATCTAAACTTCCCTACTTTTCAATTGGCATGGCCACCATGGTGCTACTATTCTGTGAAAACAAGCTTAATTGCCGTGGAAGTTCTCCTTGATTGGATACTATTCTGTGAAAACAAACTTTGATTTATATTTTCCTTTTCCTTTTCAAATCATAATTTATATTTAGTTTTATTATATTCTTACATTTCATGTATGTTTTAATAGGTGAAATCACCAGGGCATGTTGGCAGCGCTGACTTGGTCAATTCTTCGAGTCCTAGGCATTTAGTATCCATCGTAGATGGAGATTTTATAGAGTTGGATGATCTTCTCTGACAATCCTGCAATAATCATTTATACTAGATGGAACCTGTTATTACCATCTGCTTTGAAGTTATGTTGAAGAAGACTGGAATTGTTGCTTTTCAACAGTTCACATATTGCTGCTACTACAACTTTGTACATCTGAAATTGGTATTCCACCAAAATCTGCATTTGATGAACCTCATCATGGTATTGCAGAATTAGGCGCTTGTTAAGTGCTGGTTCTATATAGATTCTGCACCCCTGTAAACAACACTAGAGTTGGATTTATATCAAAATTATGTAGGGAACATTATTATCAGAAGCCAAGTTTGACAATGCTGTGGCAGGACGCGTCTTCCTGTTAAAGGTAAGTATATCTGATTTGTCACTTCCCAGTTCCAGTTAACACTTGGACTTGCAACTCATTCCCATGCTGAATGTGCAGATTTTCACCATTCCCTTTGACAGGCAAGCTTGGTGCATACTGATTGAGGTATTATTCCCAATTGCGGAGAATCTGTCCTTGACGAAGCTCTCCTTCGCAAATGTTCGCTGTTCTCTGTATTTAAATCTTTGCTAGGTCCAGGTGGAAATGCTTTTGAAGTGAGAATCTAATAGTGCTTTGATGGAATTCTCTTGTAAATATATCAGCTATCTTAGTTCGATGTGAGTAATTGAGTATATTGTTTGAAGTGCGGATTTCGTTTGTTAGGCTTATTTGCGTGTTGGGAATTAAAATTAAGGCAGTAGCTTATCTATGAAATTATCAGGAATGCATTGCGAAGTTATGTTCTTGCTATTTGTGTTGGAGTATTTCAAAGTTCAGCTTGTGAGTATTTCAAAGTCCTTAAGTCTACCCGATTTCCTCCTTGTAGGAATTAGTCTGTTTGGTTCAATAACCAGAAAGGAAGGTTAACGAAAGGAAAGAAGCTCAAAGCCCACATATTTCTTAGTATGCTTGGTTCAATTTGGCATAATGGCAAGGAAATGCATTATGGTCTTTACGGAGAGTATCTGTTAGTGAGTTAGGTAGGTTTTCACTATTATTCTTGTTTTGGGTAAAATCACCCAAGACGTGTGGTCCTATCAGAAGGTGACACATGTTAACCAATGAAAGACCCAAATGGATCAATTACTTCATGACACGTGTGTCTCCAAACAATTAGGAGAAAAGGTTGCTTTCTTGGCCCAAATCCCAAGAAAGCTGTAATACGGTGCAATCCATCAAACTTAGGTCAGAATGACCTACAAAAAGACACTTTTTTCCATAGACTCCATAAATAGGGAGAGTTTCCCCATTTTTAGGACATGTTCATTTATTACCATATAACTACATTTTCTTACATCAAAGAAAACACCTGATATCGGAATTCGAAAAGATCTCATTTTTATCTTATTTGCACCTTTTCATCTTCTACAACCAATACTAAAGCTTTTATCAATCATAGTTTTCGTGTTTTGCAGGTACATACCGCGCTGGACCAGTCTTGGTGACATAACTCTCTCGAGGGACCAGTTAACACCCAAAAATCGAAATAGAAGAAATATATATAAAAATACAAGAAGGACCCAACTCTTATGTTCTAAATAAAGTATTTCTTGTTATTTGATTTGTTAAAGTTAGAAATGTTGGCGAATTCATTCAGGTGAAAGTAAAAGACGGAAAGAGAGGGATTCGAACCCTCGGTAAACAAAAGCCTACATAGCAGTTCCAATGCTATGCCTTGAACCGCTCGGCCATCTCTCCTACACAATGATTATGACTCATAAACCGAAGAAATAGCGAGCCATTACTATGTTGATATTTCTATTACTAACGATATTCGATTTTTGTTTGTATAAAATAGGTACGACTAGGATTAACGCAGCAATACTATACTATTTGACTATAAACAAACTACTAATAGAACGTAAGGAGTAGTAATGTAATAGAAGATTTTTTCGAAAAAAGTAGGAGTTGATTAAAATAAAAAACAAGTTTTTCCTTGTTATATATTTATTGATTCATATTTGTGAAGATGATGTTCCTATCCTTTATTCTATATCCCATATTTCCATATATAATATACCGGCTTCGATCAATTAATTGAAACGAATCGCATCAACGGATTGATGGGTTTATGGTTTTTAGATTATAGACGATTAATGGATCCCTTTTGATCATGGTTCGATTTTTATTTCGACTAGAATTCCATAAAATTCTCAAAAAAACATTAGAAAATTTCCGTCTAGTTTTAAAGTGCTCACCAACAAATTTCTTAAATTTCCCAGCTATTCTATTTCCATCATAGAATGATTATTCGATTCTCTTTCTTTTCGTCTTTCGATCAAAACTTTTTTTGATCGGATCGAAAAATTCTTTGATTCTTCCGCTTCGATGAAATCGGAATAGCTACTAGACTACTCAATTTGATCTGTATGAATTCAAATGGGATTCAACTCTTTTTTATTGATTGTTGAAAAAGGAGTTGGGGGCTTTTGGAACAATTCGAATAAATAAAATAGAAGTATACGTAGTAGTAAAAAATTTGTATCTTTATTGAAATTTTTTTGTTTGGAAAGGAATCCGTTTTTATGTTATTTTGTACTGTACAAATTCTTTATTTGTGTAATCGTTTTCCCACTAAGGGGTAATGAGAAGAATTTTATAATGGATTGATACCTATGCCTAGATCGCGGATAAATGGAAATTTTATTGATAAGACCTTTTCAATTGTGGCCGATATCTTATTACGACTAATTCCGACAACTTCAGGAGAAAAGGAGGCATTTACTTATTACAGAGATGGTGTGATTTGATTTTCTTTATTATTTAGTTTCTTTTTACTGCTCCTAGTCTTATGAGAAAAGCACACACTTCGGGATAGTAAAGAACAAATATTCTTAATTCCATATTATAGAAACAAACCTACGCTTGTTGAAGGTGAAGTTTAGAAATAGAACGATTCCTTCCGTCGTGTATCCCCGATTGATGCAACCTCAAATACTATAGCTTCATTTATAGATTTTTGTATTGAACTAAAGGTTACACCTTTGTGTTTTGTATTACAGGTCAATCCTACTTCCTAGTAATATAGTACCAATAGGCGGCATAGGGGAAGAAGCACTACACCTAGCAATCGACAGCACAAAAGCTTTGTTAAAAATTACTTACCTACTCCCTTTCTTATCTGGGTTAGGACTAACAAGAATGGTTGGGCCAACAAACATCCATCTCGTTCGTACTTTGGATACCCGTATAACCATCGAAGCCTGTTGAAGTGACTATTTCCTGGAAATTAGGAGGCGTTGAGGACAAAGGAATTGCTGAAGTTATCCTTTCTATTTAGTATCAAGACACTTGATTCTAGTAAAAGCTCTTACGCAAGAAGGTTGGCTAGATATTTTTTGTAAAAACACTAGCCCCGCTCAGTTCATAATGAGAATGTTTTAATCCCTTTTGCCATGTATTTTGAATTCTCATTATGTATATTATATTTAAGGGAGGAGCCGTATGAGGTGAAAATTTCACGTACGGTTCTGGAACGACGATTCTTTGAATCGAATAACGACCGTAACGGATGTCAGCTCAATCCGAAGGAAATTATGCGGAAGCTTTACAGAATTATTATGAAGCTATGCGACTAGAAATCGATCCTTACGATCGAAGTTATATACTCTATAATATAGGCCTTATTCACACAAGTAATGGAGAACATACGAAAGCTTTAGAATATTATTTTAGGGCACTAGAACGAAACCCATTCTTACCACAAGCTTTTAATAATATGGCAGTGATCTGTCATTACGTGCGGCTATCTCCACTATAGAAAGAAAAAAGAAGACCCAATTTTCTAGTAAATACTAAAAAAAGGATCGCTACAAACGCATCGTCCAAAACGACGATTTCTTTGAGCTGTAGCAAAGAAAAAAACTTCATACTAATAGAAGTCAAAATATGCCCAGATACTTTTTTCTATATCTATGGATAAAAAAAAGATCTAATTGATAGAGAGGAAGCACCGTAAAGATCAATTAATGAGGTTTTGGTCCAATACATTAAGAAAAGAACTGCTTACTTATGCCTATATAGAAATATAAGATAGAAAAAGTTAGGAATTAACTTATGTAATAGAGTCGATCCACTAAGACTGAGGTTTTGAGCGGCGGTGTAGGATCAAATCCCAAAGATAGTAAGTCTTTTCTTTCTTACTTATGTTTAGGAAGGAAAGCTTTTTTCAAAGATTCTATATAAATTTCGATATAAAACCGAGATAGTTACCTTGCGGAAAATACGAAGGATAGGAGTAAATATCCGTGTTTTCTTCTTCTGCAGGTGGGAGAAAAGATAAAACCGAAATTGATTCTTAATTAAATCAAAATGAAAGTTTGAAACTCATGTGATTAACCTCCTTTGGTTCCTCCGAACAGTGGAATATAGATCTATAAGAAATCGCATTTGGTTTAATGGGACACCAAAAGAATTGATTGCGGAGCCGTATGAGGTGGGAAACTCTCACGTACCGTTCTAAGGGAAGGAGTTGACCCTCCTATTCTGACCGGGGAGAACAAGCCATTCGACAGGGAGATTTTGAAATTGCGGAGGCTTGGTTCGATCAAGCCGCCGAGTATTGGAAACAGGCTATAACGCTTACTCCTGGGAATTATATTGAAACGCATAATTGGTTGAAGATCACGGGGCGTTTCGAATAAAAGAAGAAAAATTCTTATTATTTCTAATTTTTTTGTTATTTGTTCGAATTCTTTTTGGTCTTTTTGTAAAATAAAATAAAACGGAATCATTTTTCGAGGAAGAACCAATCAAAGAATTTTATTATATGCCTTTTTCGATCATTCTAGTTTGGCTGGTATTTCGTAAAGATAAAGAATACACAGATAGAGTACAAAATCGATTTATTTCTTTTTGTCTATTAGCTATTAATACAAATAAATTACTATTTAAAATATAAAAAATATTAATAAATAATGAATAATATTTCTATATCTAGATATAGAAATATTATTCATTACTCGAAAATCGTAATTATTCTAAAAAAAAGAAAATACTAAAATATTCGAAAAATGTCGAATGACTAAATACGGTTTCTTAGTAATAACTAACAACTGTTTGTGTGATTTTTTCTATTTTGAATAGAGTATTTTTGAATAGAATCTAAAAAATTCCTATATTCTATGTAAAACATTAAATAGCTACATCTAATACCTTCGAATTGAGATAAGAATAATCTAAGTTGCAAGAAAAAGTCATTTTTACCTTAAAAAAACCAAAAGGGGTTTGTATCTCAAAAAAAGGGTCCGTTGAGCGCCGCACATCTATGTCATAATAGATCCGAACACTTGCCCTGGATCAACTTCCAGATCATAATTGCTCTAGTAAATAACTAAAAAAATAGAGAGATGGAAGATAGAAAGAAGTGAAAGAAAAAATTCTAAATATCTCTCCGAGGTTCACCAATTATTTGAATGTTGGAAGGTCTCTTTATATGTCTTGTCCGGAAAGAGGAGGACTCAATGATTATTCGTTCGCCGGAACCTGAAGTAAAAATTTTGGTAGATAGGGATCCCGTAAAAACTTCATTTGAGGAATGGGCCAGACCCGGTCATTTTTCAAGAACAATAGCTAAAGGCCCTGAAACTACTACATGGATCTGGAACCTACATGCTGATGCTCACGATTTCGATAGCCATACCAGCGACTTGGAGGAGATTTCCCGAAAAATTTTTAGTGCCCATTTCGGTCAACTCTCCATCATCTTTCTTTGGCTGAGTGGTATGTATTTCCACGATGCCCGTTTTTCCAATTATGAAGCATGGCTAAGCGACCCTACCCACATTGGACCTAGTGCCCAAGTAGTTTGGCCGATAGTGGGCCAAGAAATATTGAATGGTGATGTAGGGGGAGGTTTCCGAGGAATACAAATAACCTCCGGGTTTTTTCAGATTTGGCGAGCATCGGGAATAACTAGTGAATTACAACTTTATTGTACCGCAATTGGCGCATTGGTCTTTGCAGCATTAATGCTTTTTGCCGGTTGGTTCCATTATCACAAAGCTGCTCCAAAATTGGCTTGGTTCCAAGATGTGGAATCTATGTTGAATCACCATTTAGCAGGACTACTAGGGCTTGGGTCTCTTTCTTGGGCGGGGCATCAAATCCATGTATCTTTACCGATTAACCAATTTCTAACTGCTGGGGTAGATCCTAAAGAGATACTGCTTCCTCATGAATTTATCTTGAATCGGGATCATTTGGCTCAACTTTATCCCAGTTTTGCCGAAGGAGCAACCCCGTTTTTCACTTTGAATTGGGCAAAATATGGGGAATTTCTTACTTTTCGTGGAGGATTAGACCCAGTAACTGGGGGTCTGTGGCTGACCGATATTGCACACCATCATTTAGCTATTGTAATTCTTTTCCTGATAGCGGGTCACATGTATAGAACGAACTGGGGCATTGGTCACGGTTTAAAAGATATTTTAGAGGCTCATAAAGGTCCATTTACAGGCCAGGGGCATAAAGGCCTATATGAGATCTTAACAACGTCATGGCATGCTCAATTATCTCTTAACCTAGCTATGTTAGGCTCTTTAACCATCGTTGTAGCCCACCATATGTATTCGATGCCCCCTTATCCATATCTAGCTACTGACTATGGTACGCAACTTTCATTGTTTACACATCACATGTGGATTGGTGGATTTCTCATAGTTGGTGCTGCTGCGCATGCGGCCATTTTTATGGTAAGAGATTATGATCCAACTACTCGATACAACGACCTATTAGATCGTGTTCTTAGACATCGGGATGCAATCATATCACATCTCAACTGGGCATGTATATTTCTAGGATTTCACAGTTTTGGTTTATATATTCATAATGATACCATGAGCGCTTTAGGGCGTCCTCAAGATATGTTTTCAAATACCGCTATACAATTACAACCTGTCTTCGCTCAATGGATCCAAAACACCCATGCTTTAGCGCCTAGCGCAACGGCTCCGAGTGCAACAACAAGCACCAGTTTGACTTGGGGAGGTAGTGATTTAGTAGCAGTGGGTGGCAAAGTAGCTTTGTTACCCATTCCTTTAGGGACCGCAGATTTTTTGGTCCACCACATTCATTCTTTTACAATTCATGTGACGGTACTAATACTTCTAAAAGGCGTTTTATTTGCTCGGAGCTCTCGTTTGATACCGGATAAAGCAAATCTTGGGTTTCGCTTCCCTTGTGATGGACCTGGAAGAGGGGGAACATGCCAAGTATCCGCGTGGGATCATGTATTCTTAGGGTTATTCTGGATGTACAACACAATTTCGGTAGTAATATTCCATTTCAGTTGGAAAATGCAATCAGATGTTTGGGGTAGTATAAATGATCAAGGGGTGGTAACTCATATCACAGGAGGAAACTTTGCGCAAAGTTCTATTACTATTAATGGGTGGCTCCGTGATTTCTTATGGGCACAGGCATCTCAGGTAATTCAGTCTTACGACCTCTCATTATCTGCATATGGTCTCTTTTTCCTAGGTGCTCATTTTGTATGGGCTTTTAGTTTAATGTTTTTATTTAGCGGGCGCGGTTATTGGCAAGAAATTATTGAATCCATCGTTTGGGCTCATAATAAATTAAAGGTTGCTCCTGCTACTCAGCCTAGAGCCTTGAGCATTATACAAGGACGTGCTGTAGGAGTAACCCATTACCTTCTAGGTGGAATTGCCACAACATGGGCGTTCTTCTTAGCAAGAATTATTGCAGTAGGATAATGGCTAGGAGGATTTGAAAAGAATTATGGCATTAAGATTTCCAAGGTTTAGCCAAGGCTTAACTCAGGACCCCACTACTCGTCGTATTTGGTTTGGTATTGCTACCGCACATGACTTCGAGAGTCATGATGATATTACTGAAGAACGTCTTTATCAGAATATTTTTGCTTCTCACTTTGGGCAATTAGCAATCATTTTTCTGTGGACTTCCAGAAATCTGTTTCATGTAGCTTGGCAAGGAAATTTTGAGTCATGGGTACAGGAACCTTTACACGTAAGACCTATTGCTCATGCAATTTGGGATCCTCATTTTGGTCAACCGGCAGTGGAAGCTTTTACTCGGGGGGGGGGGGGGGGGGGGGGGGGCGCTCTTGGCCCAGTGAATATCGCTTATTCTGGTGTTTATCAGTGGTGGTATACAATCGGTTTACGCACTAATCAAGATCTTTATACTGGAGCTCTTTTTCTATTATTTCTTTCTGTTCTATCTTTACTAGGGGGTTGGTTACACCTACAACCAAAATGGAAACCGAGCGTTTTGTGGTTCAAAAATGCCAAATCCCGTCTCAACCATCACTTGTCAGGACTCTTCGACGTAAGTTCCTTGGCTTGGACAGGACATTTAGTTCATGTCGCTATTCCTGCAGCCAGGGGAGAGTTCGTTCGATGGAATAATTTCTTAAATGTATTACCACATCCTCAAGGATTAGGGCCCCTTTTTACAGGTCAGTGGAATCTTTATGCTCAAAACCCCGATTCAAGCAGTCATTTATTTGGTACCTCCCAAG